TTTCTCTACGGAAGGGTTTTTTTTTAATGTTGTTGTTGTTGTTTTGGCATTGTGTGTGTGCGTTCGCTTTGTGCTTGGCCTCTGCCTGCGTTCCGCTGGGGCCGCTGCTGGAGAGCTCTTCCTTCACACTCTGCGGGGTGCGGTGGCAGGAGGCGAGGGGCGCCGAAGGAAGTGAAAGCGAGCCGCATATTTACACACACGGAGGTAGAGAGCGAGAAGCAGGGGGAAGAGGCGGGGGAACACAAGTCCGTACTTGGGAGAGCGGCACGAAACGCGGGCTGCGCCGGGCAATGAAGCTGTACTCCTTGTCGATCGTGCGGCCGTTCCCGGCGGGGGTGGAGAAGGAGCCCGTCATCTGCTCCCAGGCCGTCGACGTCAGCTCCTTCGGCTTCTTCCAGCGCAACGCCGCCCGCGAGTTCATAGTGTTCCTCACCCGCACGGTGGCGAGGCGGGTGTCGAAGGGCGCCAAGACCCAAATCACGGAAAACGGCAACGTTGTCTTTGCGTACGCCACACTGGACGGGATCGTCGCCATCGCCATTAGTGACATCGAGTACAACGCCCGCGTCGCCTTCACCCTGCTTGCGGAGCTTGCCCAGCAGTTCCAGACGACCTTCCGCGGCAAGTACGACGTCGTCGACGGCAAAGACGACAACTTCCTGAACTGGCCGTACCTCGAGGAGACGCTGCTGAAGTACCAAAAGCCGGAGGAGCAGGACAAAATCCTCAAGATCAAGCGGGACATCGAGGACACCAAGGTGGTTATGTATAATGCCATTGACCAAATTATTGAGCGCGGCCAGAAGATCGACGAGCTTGTCTCCAAGAGCGAGGATCTTGGCATGGCAAGCAAGACATTCTACAAGCAGGCAAAGCAGACAAACTCGGGGTGCTGCTCAGTGATGTGAGGTGCTACGCTGCCGCCCATCAGTGTCGTTGGCCGCTGCTGCTGCTGACCCCCCACTCCCCCCTCCCCTTTGCGAGGCCGCTCACTGCCTGGGCAATCCTGCAATGTTAAACTCCCCTTTTGCTGCACCGAGGTGAAGGCACCAGCAGCCAAAGCAAAGGCGGGAGTAAACCAGAAGGAATTGAAGGAACGTCGCATACTGATAACAACCAAAAAAAAAAGAAGCGGGAAAAATAAAGTTTGAACTGGACGAATAAGAAGAAAAACGAAAGAAGGGCGAGGAGTCAAATGCTTTCATGTGTGTGGAACAAGAACGTATGCCGTCTGTGCTGGCGCTGTTTCTCATGTACTGTAGACCTTGAAACTCACTGGGTTAAAGTCGTTTTTCTTCTTTTGTTCTTTTGTTTTTTCTTCTTTTATTGATGCCGTGTTTGCTGTTGTTGTTTTTTCTTCCCTGCCTCTTTTTGTTCATTGTCTCCCCGCGGGCGCCCGTACCGGGGTGCTGCAAAGGGATTGTGGCTGCTTTGACAGGTGGTGAGAAGCTGGAAAATTGCGGGGAGCCTGCAGTCTTTGTCGCTCCCACCTGTGTCCCCTCCCCCCCTCCCTCTTCTTCTTGTTTGCTCTACCGCCGCCTTTGTTTTATTTTTGTTTTTGTTTTGCCGTCGCTCTGCATTTTCCATTGCCTCTTTGCTGTTAGCGTTCCCTTCTGACCAACACGGATGCCCAGGATGAGGGAGCGGGGGTCTCACCCACGCAGGCGAAGCCCCACGCTTCTTCTGCTTGCTGTATTTGTTGCTGCCGCTGCCGCAACAGCACTCCTCCTGCTCTTGCTCTTCCTTCTCCTCCTCCGAGGAGCCGCGGGACAGGAGCAGGAGGAGATGAGGCCAAAGTTAGGCCCAGCGTCCTTGCTGCCCACTGCGTCGCAGGCACGCAACACCACACTCTATCAGCCGCTGCGGCCGGAGGAGGTTGAGGGTGTCCTGCCGGGAAACGTCGTAGCCTTCATGTCTCCCCGCGGGCCACACAGGGGACAGGAGCCGCCGCACTTTGACTACGGTGATGGGCCTAGGCGCTATCGTAATCCGTACCGTCCCATGCGTCGCACCTCGCGTCCCTGCTCTGGGCGTCTGTACACAGCAGGGCGGTGGGTGTACAACGGCAGCCTGGGGCCCCGATATCCTTCTCGCGGGAAGGTGTTGGGGTGCTGCGAGCGGGGTTTTCGGAAGGAGTTTGGGGGCAACGGAGTTCGAAAAGAGACGCAGTACGTGTGGGTGCCAGACGCGTGTGAGTTGCTCCCGTGGGACGAGGAACTCTTCTGCCGCTCCCTTCGCGGGCGCAGCATCATGATGGCTGGGGACAGCCTCACAGACCACTGGCACGCCTCACTGTATTACCTTCTCGGCGGCGTGGGCGACATCTACGAGCGCGAGGGCACCTCACGCTCGCGTCACCGATGCAGGGGGCACGCCATCTGCCAAGCGTACTACCCAGAGCGTCTGCAGGATCCTGTCAAGATCTTTTTTCTCACCAACCAATTTCTAGAAACCGGGCACCACGCCTTTCGGAATTTTTTGTGGTGGAAGGACATTCACCGCTACCCAATTCTTATCCTCAACTCGGGTTCCTGGATGGTGCGGCCGGCGAACGAGCGACAGAAGGTTTCAGATGAAGATTACTACCGTTTGATGCGGCGAGCCGCCTGCGTTGTTCGGCGTCTCTATGAGGGGACCGTTATCTGGCGTACGAGCTTTCGTGGGCATCCCTTTTGCTGGCAGTACTCCGAGCCACTTACGGCCCCGCTGACGTTGGCTGCATACAAGGCAAAAAAGTACGAGAGGTATCGTTGGTTTGCTATTCCTGACAGGAACGCCTACACAACGATGCTTTGGGAAGACATGGGGGCACACATTCTGGATGTGGCGCCCATGACGGATCTCATGCCGCTGGGGCACATGGGTAAGTACCACCCAAAGCATGAGGTGATGAATGCAACCGACTGCCTGCATTACTGTTCGCCTGGGGCAGCTTACGAGCAGTGGAGTGTGCTGCTGATGAATCTCCTCTCAGGAAACATTATGGATTAGTCGCCAGACTCGTTTTCTGCCGGGTTGAGATTTCTATTTGTTGTTGTATACGTCTCATTTTCCCTGTTTTTGTTACTTGTTTTTTTTTTATTAATTTTTATTTTTTTTTTTGCGTTTGCGGCGTCGCGGCTGTGCTGCCGCCTGTCGGAGTCATGGTGTCTTGTCGCGGCAGGCTGGAGCCCGCCCCGCTTGGGCATATTCTCTTCGCTGACGCGCACGAGGCGACCACTGCAGCCTTTTTCGCTCGCGCGCCCTTTCACTTTCCGTACATGCCTGCTCGCATGGGCGTTGCTTTATACAGCCCCGTCCCCGCACTCCCCACCTCTGTCTCTTTCTTTCACTTTCGCTTTCGCTGGGGAAGCGGGGGTGGTCGTACGGCCACCCTCCCCACACGTTTCTCGGGCTGTGCGTGGCTCTGTCGGCGGCGCGGCCGTAGCGGCTTTACTGCAAGAACGAGGAGCAGTCCTCCGCACATGCAACGGGGCGGCGTTACCGCTGCTGACCTGATGGAGCTTCAGGAGGCCGCCTCGCGGCTTCGCTCTCTGTGCGCCCAAAGGGAGGCGGAGAACAGAAGTCTGACGCAGCTGCTGCGGGACCAGGCAGAGCAGCTCCTTGAGTTGCGTGCCGATCAACTGCTTCTGCAGAAAACGGCTTCGATGTGGTCCAGCTACCATCGCCTGTTTGCTCAGCCACTCTTCGAGACGCGTCTGGCGCTGGGAACTTATCAGTGCGAGGCGCAGCAGCTGTTGATTCACGATATGCTGCTCGATCAACGCCGCAGAAACTCACTTGCCAAGGTGGGGGAAAGCAAAAGGGAGCGGGAGAAGGCTGCCCTGCAGGCGCAGGTGCGGCAGCTGCAGGAGCAGCAGGACTCCAACAAGCGGCGACATGCGGCGGTGGAAGTTCGGCTCGGGCGTGCCTCGGAGGAGTCTGTGCGGGCCCAACAACGGGTGTCAACGTTGGAGGAGGAGTTGACGCACTACATGAGGCGACTAGAGGAGAGCGAGCGAGAGCGGGAGCGCGTCCAGCGGCATCTCTCACAGCATGAGGCGGCTTTGCTAAAGACACGACACAACGTAGTTGAACTGCGGCAGTACGAGGAAGAGATTCACTCGAGGGACGCCGTCATCGTGCAACTGCAGCAAGCGATTCGGGAGATGAACGCACTTATGGCACAGCAGCAGAAATCGCACTCAGAAACGGCGGATGGTGCCAATGCGCCGCTGCCGCCGCCACCACCACCACACGAAGCAGAAGAGAGACAGTTGTCCGCCAATTTACCTAGCTCGCCGAGCGGTGCCTGCGATTCTGAAAGGCGGCTATATTTGGGCGTCCAGAGACTGCGTCAGGCTGTGGAGGGTGAGAGCAGTCCCTCCACTCACCGCCGTCCCCTCTTTGCCCACTGCAGTTCCTCCAACTATTCTACAGCTTCGTTACCAGCTTCCCCATGGAAGAAGGAGCGGGGTGATGTCAGTGGTATTGATATGCAGGAGTTTCTAGCGCAAGAGTTGCAGGCCCCTTTGCCGTAACGTTGCTGTTGTATTTTTCTTGTGTGTGTGTGTGTGTGTCCTGCACTCCACCATCCCTTTGGATCCATTCAAACGGCCCCTTCTCACACCTGCCAGTTGCACTGTATTGCGTGGTCCACCCAACTTTTTGTGCCTCTCTTCTGTTTCACCGTTTTTCTCTCTGCTTTCTCTGTGCACGTCCGTTGCGTGCCCCCACGTATCCTGCTGCGTTTAGTGCTTGTGGCTACGCGTTTATTAATATTTTTAGGTTGGGTTCGTCTTGCATCCGTAGGATGCCGCGGCTCTCAAGGTTGGAGAACCCCTTGATGATTGGCAGTTCAGGCACTGATTGCTCCAACGCCGCTATTGTCGACTTTAGGGCGAGATCGTCGTTTGCCAGCCGCCTGAAGGTGTCACTGGAGGAGACGATACTTCCGTTTGGCTACAATTCGCTAAAAGAGCTTGCCAATATTCCGCGGCAGGATGAAGTAGCCGGACCCACCACACGGGGAATAGGTGCGAAGAGTAATGAGTCTTGCATGAGGTGCCAATTTTATGAGGGGCTACTTAGAAGAATGGCCACGCAGCTACTTGAGGACCTGGAGGAGGGGGACTCGGTCTCAACTAGTACTGCGGAGTCAAGCATGCTAACAAACGCGGGGGAGCCCGCTATGGGCATTATGGAGTTGAATCCCAACCCCCCCCAGCACGTAGGTAGTGAGGGCCCGTCGGCGGGCCCCAAAGGTGGCACTGCCCCACGTGCCTTAACTCCTATAGATGAAAGTCAGTTTGAATTATTTCCCAGCGTTACCTCAGTGACGTCCACACTCTTGACAAACTCATCCTGCAGTGTTCAGGGCGGCGGAGGCGCATGGTTGCAGGAACTCACGGCCAGCTATGGGCCCGACAGAGAAAAAAACGGCGGTTCCCCGTTCTACAACGGGTCGGCGCTGAAGAGGCCCAGCCCCAGGTTCTTCCCCGGCCTGATGGTGCCGCAGCGATGCCCACAGAGAGACGATGCATCGCAGGCCAGTGGAAGCCCAAGGGGACCCCGGCACGGCACCATATATGTAACCCGTGGAGCTTCCTATTCCATTTCCACAATACAAAGTAGGGAGGTACAACCATGCGTTAAGGAGACTGCGAAAACGGTTATAGGCCGCGCCAATCACAAGAAAAAGATAAACGACTACGTGGTGTTGAGGGAGCTTGGCCGTGGCTCGACAGGCGAGGTTGTCTTGGTTCAGCACCACGAGACAAAGGACCTGTTTGCGATGAAAATTGTGACGCTGGGGAACAAGTTTGATCAACGGCGCGTGAATGCCATTCGCTCTGAGATTGCAGTACTGAAGGCGGTGGCCCACCCTCATCTAGTCCGGCTCCACGAAGTGATTGGTGACAAGAATCACAACACCATTTTTATGATCCTGCAGTACATCTCGCGTGGTAGCATCGCACACGCCTTGACTCCCACCACCGTTGTGCCCATTCCAGAACAGCAACTAAGGCTGTACACGTCGCAGATCGTTTCAGCTTTGAAGCACCTACATTCGAAAGGTATATTTCATCGAGACATTAAACCCGAAAATATATTGATAGACGACAATGAACGTATATATCTTGCCGACTTCGGCGTGAGTGCGATCTGCACCCCCGACGGTGTCCGGGGTGTGGAGGGAACACCAGCGTTTATGGCTCCCGAGGTGTGCCTTGGAAAACCAGAGGTAGTCGGAGAACTCGTAGACGTATGGGCGTTGGGTGTCACGCTGTATCAACTGATGTACGGCTTCCTCCCTTTTCGGGCGCACACGTACCAGGAGATGACGCGTCGTATAGTTGGCTCTCCGCTTGTTTTTCCCGACGAGAGGCCAAAAAGGAACTCGACAGATTTCGGCGCCTGTGGGTTCTCCTACTTGGATGCAATCCATACGTTTACTGCAGAGACACCCCCAGACGGCGGGGACGCAACGCAAACCGGAAGGGATCAGGACTCCACGGAGGAGCTGGCCCCATGCACGGTGACTTCTTCGTCGGCGTTCAAGGAGTTGATTTGCGGCCTCCTTTGCAAGGACCCTGACTGCCGCTGGACGCTGCGACGCATTGACGAATCCGCGTGGCTTCGACCCCGCCGCGAAATGAGCAGCCTAAGCGAGATCGTGGCCCCCCCTCTAGACAGGCAGGCTGAGGTTTCCAGCTCCACGGTCGCCTCGTCGCCCTTACCAAGGATGTCAGGGGTGTCCGGTCAATTAACCAGCTTATCAAATCATTTAACCAGCCTGTCAAATCAATTAACCAGCGTGCCCATAACGACATCCAAGAAGGTTGTTACCATAAAAGTTCGCCCCATTCCGACCCCAACACTCAAAGGCGACAGCATCAGCAAAATTACCAGCAACAGCAGCAGCGACAACAACGCCAACGTCGGCGCCAAGGGCATCACCAAGGTGGAAAATGTAAACAATTTAACTTCCACCTACCACATGGAGGCCTGTGAGGTTTGTCCGGCTAAGGCGGAAAAGGGGTGGAAAAGGTTTTTTCCTGTCTCATGGCGAAAAAAGAGAGGTCTCTCGTCAGAGGGGCATTCATAACTGGTAGTAAGAGCTCTCACCATCTCAGGATCCGCGGATGTGCTTACTTTTTTTTTTTTTTTCCCCCCTCCTCCCGGTTGTTTTGTTATTTCCCCTCCTGGAAAAAGTTTTCCAAGGCAACGGGAATGACGAATCATCGGTTCATCGTAGGAACTCTTATTTCCATTTATTTATGTAGCACTGGGTGCGTCTGTCTCTGAAGGGGAGTGGGGTTGGAGACTGCCGAGAAGGGAGCGCGCAACCTCGTCCCGGAGAGGCAGTAAAAAGCTGCTAATGCTGGTGTGGACTCCGTTTCTATTTAGTTATTTTTCATTTTTACCTTTTAACTTTATCTTGTTCGCCTTCTTTGTCTACTCCTGCACCCGGGATAACAGTTTCTGGTCCCTGGGCTCTTCATTTGCGGGAATACACAGAGGGTGCGGGACACGGCGAAAGGCACGTTAAAGATTTTTTTTCTTTTTGTTCTTTTTGTACTTTGCCAGCTCTGTGATTACTGTTCCCTTTTCTCTCCTTTTCCCCTTTTCCCTCTTTTCCCACTCTACTCCCTTTGGGCCTTCTTTGGGTATAGAATTCCCCGGGGCCCTGCGGGCGTGTGTGCACCGCACAACGGCATGTCTGCTTGCCGTTTGTCTTTCGCCCCTTTACTTTTCTACTCCGCCGCTTTTTATGGTCTTCTTCTTGCTTCTTCGCGTTGCTTGCGCGTGCGTGTGTGTGTGTGGGGGGGGGGTGGATTTCGCTGCTCGAGTTGTGTGCACTGAGGCCGAGTGGAATTCATCAAACCAGCAAAAAACAGAGGGAATAATAGTAAAAAAAAAGAATAGATTATAGGCCAAAACTGCAATTGTGTATTCCAATGGGACTCGGTTATAAGAGCGAAATTGGCGCCGTGTGCAGCGCGTGCATTGCGGCCGTGTGGCTTTCCCAGCTGCCGCGTGCGTACCTCACCGTGGCGGTACCGGCGTCGCTTGTTGTTCAGCGGCTCGTGGCGCGCGGGTTTCGGAATCGCGCGCGTCCGCCGCATAAGGGCGACGAGAGCGCAAAGACCAATGGATCCGACAAGGCCGCGTCACAGCGGGAGCGGCACCCGGGATTTGTGCTGTCGCGCGACATGAAGGAGGAGGAGCGGCCAGTGGCGGTCGTCACGGGGACGAACAGCGGCATTGGGTACTACACGGCCGTGGGGCTCGCGGTGGAGGGCTACCGCGTGGTCTGCACCTGCCGAAATCCGGCCCTCAGTGAGTTGACGGCGGCGAAGATTCGCGGGGCGGCGGAGGGGGCGCGGCGCAGGCGCAGCGGGGACCCCAGTTACGCGGAGGTGCCGGAACTGGTTCTTGTGGACGGGCGCTTTTCCCTCGAGTGCGATGACTTTGCCAGCGTGCGACGGTTTGCGGATCAGTTTCTGGCGGTGTACAAGCGTCTCGACGTTCTTGTGAACAACGCCGGTATGATGCGGAGGCGACTGGAGTTCAGTCGACACAATTCACAGCTGGAGCTTCACACCGCGGTCAACTTTCTTGGACCGCTGCTGTTGACAGAACTTCTTGTGCCCCGCATTCAGCAGAGTCAGGGACGTGTCGTGTACGTTTCCTCCGCGGCCCACCGTTTCCCGCAGATGACGTTGGAGACGGGACTCTGGAAGAAGCTGACAGGCAGGAGTCTTAATAGGCGTCTCTTAGATGCCCTTCAGCAGCTCAATCAAGGCGAGTCGGGTTCAACAGGCCCGCTAATGCAGGCGACACTGGGTGCCGCGTTTGTTCGCTATGGGGCAAGTAAATTGCTTAATATTTACCACGCGCACTACATTGCACGACATCACAGGCTGCCTGCATGCTCCCTGCACCCTGGCTGTGTCGGGACAAACTTCTCGAGGGACCTTATGCGTGGGGAATGGACCAGCCTGATCTATCAGTATGCCTCTCTCCTCTTCCTAAAGACGTGGGAGGAAGGAGCACAAACGACGCTGCACTGTGCGATGTGCGACGTCGATGAATTGAGGCTTGTCAAGCCGCCGGAGGGTGCGCCACAAACCGAGCCCGTTAGCCCGTACTTTGTGGAGTGCCGCGACCAGACACTTGAGGCATTGCTGTCCTATGGCTGGGACGTTGAGGAAGGGGACCGCATTGTGGAGTGGGGGAAGCAGTTGGTTGGGCTGACACAGAAAAAAAGTTGAAACAAAAAAAAACATACAAACAAACGAACTTTGTCCTCGCTTTTGTGTATGTACGTGTATCTAGTGGTGCCTTCACGTCGGTTGGGACTCGCCCTCTTTCTCTGACGGGCCGCAACGAGGCGGGATTGAGGCGCTGCATTGGGAGTGGGTTTGCACCGCCATTTCTTCTCCATCCTCTTTGTTTTTTTTTTATCGCATTGGCTCCGCCGCCGCCGCCGCGCTGCGTTTCATGCGCACGTCATCCACCGAATGTGTCACTTCCTCTTTTTTTCCTGTTCCCCCCCCCCCCACATTTCCATCTCCCACAGATAACCGGCTTCGTGCAGGTGGAGGATGGGGGAGCCGCAGCTGCCCTGCCTTGCTTTCCCCTCTTGTTGTTGTTGTGTTTTTTTTGTGTGTGTGCGTGCGTGTGTCCGCTCGCCCCTTTCGCGGCCCACCGCCTTCCGCCGAGATGGTCGTGTCGGGGGCTGTCCGCAGCGACACCTGCGCCGCGTACCGTCGCCTGCTGGACGCAGTGAAGCAGGTGACGCGCGACTGCCCGCTGCACAGAACGGAGGGGCTGACGAGGTACGTGGGGCTCCGCTTCTTTGACGCAGCCGAGCAAAACCGCCGCCGTTACCTGCAGCTCCGCGAGGCGGCGGACGCGCAGCGAGGCAGAGGGCGGCGGAGGAAGCTGCAGGCAATGGAGGCCCAATACGAGCGCTTCATCGCGAGGGAATTGCAGCGGGTGCGTGAGGTGGCGGAACAGATCCTCCTCGCACCGGGCAATCGGGCACTTACCTCCATGTTGCAGGTCCTCGCGGCGGGCGTTGGAAACTCACACTACCAGCATGCTATCGAGCGGAACTATCTTCACTACTGCGAGTTTGAGAACAAGCGGGTGGAGCGGAATGAGGCGGATGAGGAGGCGACGGCGGAGCGCCAAAATCGCATCATGCAGCACGCCCTCATTCCTTACGGGGAGCGTCTTCTTTTTCTCCACCGCCTGGGCGTCAAGGATGGTCCGGGTGGTGCGCAGGAGCCTGGCAGCCTGACTTCGTGGCAGGTGACAGAGGCCATTGCTGGGACCCGCAGCGGTGTTTCCGCACACCACATGTCGCATGGAAAGGAGGACGTAGTTGTCGAGGTCGACGAGACGTACAATAAGCAAATTGTCTACGTGCGGTGTGAGCCGTACGACTGGGATCGGGAGGTGGAGCGGGTAGAAATCACGGAGTCGGAGGAGGTGCGTGGCACCGTCTTCCACGCGGAGTACTTCAGCGTGGCGCAGCGTCTCTGCGACGCCTTGTTGGCAGAGACCCCGTTGCACGCCTACCGTTCCACGGTTGTGGTTGGCCACGGCGTTGGAGGGGCGGTGGCGTTTTGTTTGGCGCTTCTGCTGCATGTCCGTGGCTTTGACGTAAAGAATTGTGTGACCCTCGGCGCGCCAAAGGCGGTTCAGCAGACGCTTGAGCGCTACATTCATGCCATCAGCCCTGTCCGCGTCGTGCTGGAGGGGGATCCGCTGATTGACCTGCCGGTGACGGGGGCCGAGGGGGAGGTGTTCGTGCACTACGGCGAGATTTTGCAGATGGCCTCCGCCGCAACGTCGCAGCAGGAGGTGGAGGACGCGGAAGAAGCGCGGCGGCGGGCGAGCACCGGTGACGGGAACGAGGGGGAAGAAGGACGGCGAGAGGTGCATGTGGCGGCTGCGAGTGAGGCTCTCACCGCGGACGCACTCAGTGACTTTTTGGACCCCGCGCAGCACCCGCCGCCGTCCTGTGAGACAAGTGAGGCCCCAAGGAATGACGCGGAGGAAGTACAGGCCGACGAGGAAGTGGAGGAAGACGAGGAAGACGCAGCGGAGTTTGGTCGGGTAGCGAGAGAACGGTATGCGGCGGGCTTCTTGCCGGAAGACTATATCGGGCGACTTGTCGATACTACGGTGCCGTTGACGTACGCCGAGGGTGACGAGGTCTGGGACGAGGGCGACTACGCGCAGATGCGGCGCGAATCAGCGCTACACCCTCACGCGCCCAACTCACATGAGTGAGATTGCGGGCATACAGAACCAGTCGTGTAACACGGCTGCGGGGAGCGCAGCCTGCCGCGTCATTTGGCTTCCGTTACTCTCTTTTCCCGTGTCTGAGTGTGTTCCTTTTTTTTTTGCTTCTTTTTAACTTTGCCCTCTGTGCTTGGTATTGCATGTGTGTGCCTCCGCCACTGCATTGGAGTCCCCCCTTTTTTTGTTGTTGCTTCCTCGGCCATTTTTTTGACTGCTTTTATACACCGAGGAATGTGTGCCAAAGAAGGAATAGAGGGTCAGAAGCGAGTTTCTTAGTGCGTGTGAATAGTCCGGCCTTTTTTTTGTTTGCTTGCTTCCACGCTCTTAGCGCGGTTGTGGTGGCATTTGCCGCGGCAGATGATTCACTACGTTTCCTCAGAGGCCTTTGCGGCGCTGGCGTGCCTTCTGTTTCTCGCCCTCGCCGCCGCCGCCCATTTCTTTCAATGGTCGTTCTGGAGTTCCATGACGAAAGTAGAAACGCTGGTTGCGGTTGTGAGCTGCGCCTTTGCCTGCCGCGGCGTGGCGTCTGGGCGTCCGTGCAAGTGGCCGAGAGGCGTGGACTTTACTTCTCGCGTGGCCCTCGTCACGGGGGCATCGTCTGGCGTTGGCTACGGCGTCGCACAGGAGCTCTCTCTGCACGGCTGGACGGTCATTATGGCAGGGAGGGACCTGATGCGCCTGCTGAAGGCAAAACGCTCCCTCGCGGCGCAAAATCCTCCTGGGCGCCTCGTTGTGCTCGGGGAGGTGGATCTTGCGGATCTTGACAGCGTGCGCAGCTTCGCCGCCTCCGTCCTGGAGCAGAGGGAAAAGTTTCCCGTCTCGTTACTGGTGAATGCCGCGGGGGTTTTGCGGCGCCACCTGCACCGCTGCGAAGACACTGGGATGGAGGAGATGATCGCCACCAACGTGGTGGGGCCCATGTTGCTCACAAATTTGCTGCTGCCGCTGCTGGAGGAGGCGGCGGACCGCAGCGGGGCCTCCTCGCGCATTGTTAACGTGGCCTCCTCTTGTCACACGTTTCTCGGGGCGTCGCGGCGGTGCGGGCCGGCCGAGATGCTCGCGGCGCTGCACCCACAGCCGCCCGGCGAGGGAGCCGCCGCCGCGGCGAAGGCGGTCCCCCCCGCACTGGAGGACTTCACCCTGGGCAACTTTGTCCGGTACTACGGCCTATCGAAGCTGTGCGTCATCTGGTGGACCTCCGTCCTCGCACGTCGCGTCTCCCTGCGTTTCTTCCGCCACGGCGACGGCAATCACCTCAAGGTGTTTGTCGCGTGCTGCCACCCCGGCATCATCACGACCCGCCTGTACCGTGACCTGTTTTCTCAGAGGGTGCTTGACCGCATTATTTACTATCCCTCTCTGCTCATTGGTAAGACGTGGAGGGAGGGGGCGCAGGCGGCCCTGCGGGCGGGCATAGAGACGGAGAACATGGTGCACGGCGGCTACTACATGTGCACCGGCGAGTATGGCCCCAACAGCGGCATCAACTGCCTCTCAAAGGACGCCATGAACATGGAGGAGGCGAACAAGTTTTGTGCTTGGGCGGAGGCACAGATCGAGGCGCAAAAAAATAGGCCGCGGCAGCCAGGGCAAGGGAAGAAGGTTGCGAGACCGAAGCGAGTCATGAGGGTGACGTTCGTGACGTGACCCGGTGCGATGGTGATAAAAAAGTATGTGAACGCCAACAATACGAAAACGATAAATCCGGACCAGTCACAGGTGCGGGGAGTGTTTTTCTTTTTTCTTTTTTCTTTTTTGTTCTTTTGGCTTGAGGGGTGTGTGCGAGAGGAATGGAGTGGCCCGACACATGCGTCTTGCAGAAGTG